AAGTTGATTATTTAAAATGATATCTCAACCATCTCCATTACTAAAAAGAAAGGTTTTCTATATGCACATATCTCAAGTAACAAACAAAAAGAAGACCTTGAAAGATAGAAACAGATCCTTAAATCCAGATTCCCAAATTATGAGCTTGTTAATGATGTCAGGTCAAGTATCAACTTCAAATGAAACAGACTTAAGATCTTATTGGAATGATCAAATAAAAGAATAGTCTTAAAAATTGTGATTACCTACTGTGACTGACTTTACAGATTCACATTTGACCTCATTGAATTTATATTTTCATTATACTTTAAAAAATTTGTGATTTTCTTCAACAAGTCAAGTTTTGACAAACAACAATTATCATAAGATATCCTTGCAAACAACAAATTCATCTGTTGAATATAAAGAAGAACTATTGTTATGTACTGAAGAGAATCGAAAACAAAAAAAAATAATAAAAACACAAAGCCAAAAAAAACAAAAAGAAGAAATGTTTGTGAATTGAATATATCAATCAAAATGTATCTGAATCATTTTCAGAAGAAGATCTTGAAGAGACGGTTTAGATTGATGAAATACGCTTATAATACTATTGTTAGATGGAACAAAAATTGCCATTTTTGTAACAGTTCTAAAAAATTTGAATGGATAAAACCTCATATACTCAATGAAAAACTTAAATTATACATAGATGTAAAAGAAGAAAAAGATCTTAATGATAAAGATAAAAAATTACAGAAATCATGTGTATAGAGAAAACATAAATTTTTATAAACAGTTGTATGATTAAAATTATGTCTTAAAGGTTTATATAATAAAGTACCTGAAAATGTAATCGACAAGAGTATTGATGAAGCATTGATAGCTAGAAAAAATATAATATAAAACAATTTAAAAGAAACTAAAATATCATCAGTATCATTTAAGTCTAAGAAAGATTTATAACAGACAATGACTATTTGTGTACAAAATTTTTCAAAAAAAAATTAGAATCATTTTATATTACACATCTTTATAATTCTTCAACTTTATTATCAAATGATGCAAATTTAATGATTTTGAAGATGGAAAACATGACTTACGCCCATTTCACTTTGAAAAAAAGAGAAAGAATAACAAATGACTATTGTAACAAGTAGATTGTAATTGTAAACTTATGTATATACATAAAATAAATGAATAGATATTTTATTAGATATATGAAGTACAGAAACAGATCCATGAAACACAAGCAGATGTTCATGTAGTTTCAATTGATCCAAGAGTTTGTACTCCATTCACATGATATTTTTCAACAAAAGATGTGAGAAAGATAAAAGAATATGATATAGGACGTATTTTCGTTTATATAAACACATGGATGATCTAATATCAAAAAAAGACAGATTGACATCTTCAATCTCAAAACAAAAGAAGAAGAAAGCATTGCATGTTGACAAAACTATCTTTTGTATAAACTGAAAAATTTGACAACTTCAGAGTGAAATCTATCGAAAAACAATCAAGTTCTTAACAGATAAGTTTGACATGATCATTATCCCCCCTTTTGAGGTTTCAGACATAGTAAACAGGAAATCACGAAAAATAACAAGGAAAACAGTTAGAAAGATGCTTTGTTGGTCGCATTACAAATTTTGACAATGATTGATTTCAAAAGTAGAAGAGAAAGAAACTCATGTGGTAATTCAAAATGAAGCTTACATGTCAAAAACATGAAGTTGGTGTGGAAATATTCAGAATATTAGAGGATCAGAAACATATAAATGCAAGAGTTGTGGCATAAAAATAGACAGAGATGTTAATGGCGCCCGAGGAATATTTCTTCGGGCTTTGCTTGATGGAGCCATGATCTTGTCATAAGACATCTTCATGCAGGAAATAGTAACTTTACTTAGTAATACTTAGTATTGATTATTGATGTGTTACAATCCATCCGTTGTTCATTGGTTTTAAAAACAATAATGTTAAACATCCAGATATTTTACAGGTAATCTACATAGTAAAATTAGAATCGGACATATCACGTCCCGGGTTGTTTAGTGGTTACACTGTGGTGGTCTATATTAAACTTGTGATCCCGGATCTAATGTTAGTGTTTCAGACGTTCTTACATATTATATATGACGTACGTACAAGTATCTTTGATGAATAATTTTCTTTCTTGTAATAAAAATGTCGAATAAAGAAAGTTTGGAAAAAATTTACAGTGATATATTTGACAAGTCGCCAGAAAGGACTATTAGTCCGTCAGATAATCTTGTTCAAATTATTAAAATCGCTCAATTATATTTATATATACACGATCATGAAAATTTCAAAGGCAAAATGCGAAAGTAGTCTTTGACAAAATTGATCAATTTTTAATAAAAAGTAATCAGGACCCAGATAATTTAATTAAATGGTGCTTTAATAATCAAACAAATCCTATATCTCAAAGCTTTCTTGGGATTTGTTATCTTTTTGGTAAATGGATAGAAAAGGACGAATATAAAGCATTTCTTCATTATCAAAAACTTTCTGAGATGGGAGACGCTGGTGGAACGAACATCATTGGTTATTTTTACAGCCATGGAATCGGCATTGAAAAAGACGAACATAGGGCATTTATCTATTATCAAAAATCCGCAGATATGGGAGATGTCAGTGGAACATTTAACCTTGCACAATGTTATCTTAATGGAATTGGCATTGAAAAGGATGAACATAAGGCATTCATTTATTATCAAAAATCTGCTGAGATGGGAAATGCTGAAGGAATGTTTAACCTTGGATATTGTTATGATAATGAGATTGGAATTGAAAAAGATAATGATAAGGCATTCAATTATTATCAAAAATCTGCTAACATGGGTAATGCTAACGGAATATATAACGTTGGTTATTGTTATCAAAATGAGATTGGTGTTGAAAAAAGATGAATATAAAGCATTCATTTATTATCAAAAATCTGCCGAGCTGGGACATGTTAAAGGAATATGCAATGTTGGCTTTTGTTATGATAAAGGAATTGGCGTTAAAGAAGACAAATGCAAGGTATTCATTCATTTTCGAAAATCTGCTGAAATGGGAGATGCTGTAGGGGCATTTAATGTTGGTTACTATTATCAAAATGGAATTGGAATTGAAGATAAACATAAGGCATTCATTTATTATCAAAAATCTGCCAATATGGGGATGCGAATGGAATGTGCAATCTTGGTAATTGTTATCTAAATGGAATTGGGGTCGAAAAAGACGAATATTTGGCATTTACTTACTATCAAAAATCTGCTAATATGGGGAATGCTAATGGGATATTTAGTATTGGTATTTGCTATAACAATGGGATTGGAATTAAAGAAGATAAATATCAAGCATTTATTAATTTTCATAAATCTGCTGAGATGGGACATGCTAATGGAATATTCAGTGTAGGTTATTGTTATTTTCATGGAATTGGAGTTGAAAAGAATGAGTATAAAGCGTTCATTAATTTTCAAAAATCTGCCGAGATGTTGGTGGAACATATAATGTTGGCTGTTACGAAAACGGGATTGGAATTGAAAAGGATGAGCATAAAGCATTTACTTATTATCAGAGATCTGCAGAAATGAACCATACCGAAGGAACATGTAATGTTGGTTATTGTTATCAAAATGGAATTGGAGTTGAAAAAGACGATCATAAAGCATTTGTTTATTATCAAAAATCTTCTGACATGGGAAATGCTGACGGGACATATAATCTTGGTAACTGTTATCGAGGTGGAAAAGGTGTTGAAGTGGATGAACATAAGGCATTCAAATATTATCTGAAATCTGCTGAAATGGGAAGTGCTGCTGGAATGTCACGGGTTGGTGACTGTTATCGAAATGGAGTTGGAACAACAAGAGACCTACAAAAAGCCAGCTATTGGTATTAAATGTAAATAAATTACTTAAATCTTGTTTTTTACATGTGTTTGTTTAATAAATTCATGTATTTAAATTTTATAATTAGGGAAAAGAATCAGACACCTGGTATCTTATTATTTATTAATTCAATTATAATGTCGAATCTAAAATTAATTATTTTTGCATTCGTTATTAGTTACAGATGAATGGGTTTATAAAAACCTTGATGGTGCTTTAAAAGGAATGTTGATCGAAAATTAATACAATTTATCATGGATTCCTTATAACGAATTTAAAGAAATTGACGAGAAAGGACAAGGTGGTTTTGCAACAGTATATTCGTTTGATCGAAATCGGAAATTCAAAATAAATGTCGCACATAAATTAATTCACGGATCAAGATACCGTCATGAAGAATTTATCAATGAGGTAATTTGTATTTACCGTATCAACATGATGTTTCGTTTAACAACTTGGGTCTCATATTCTTTTAAATAATAAGTTGAAAGCATATTGTGACATCGGCATTAAAGAACACACATTTTTAAAACGTTTTGGCATATCAAAGGATAATGATTCTAAAGACTATATTCTTGTTATGAAATATGCGTTATTGGACTCGTTACGTGAAAATCTTTATTCAGTATCACGTATGAAATGGAAAAAGAAATTAACTATGCTCCATTGTATAGCTTCTGACCTTCATATAATTCATTCTCAAAACCTTATTCACAAAGATTTACATAGTGGAAATATACTTTTAGACGACCTTAATAGTGCATATATTGCAGATTTAGGTTTATCGGCATTAGCTAACATGGAATCGAATAACCAAGTATGTGGTATAATACCATATATTGCACCAGAAGTATTATACAGTACAATAGAGAATATAGTAAGGCATCTGATGTCTATTCTTTTGGTATCGTGGCGTATGAAATAGTATCTGGTTTTCGGGCATATCACGACGTTTCGCATGATATCCAACTACAGATCAACATCTATAAGGGATTGCGTCCAAATATCCCAAAACATGTACCAAGTTTAGTTGCTGAGCTAATAAATAGATGTTTGGATGCTCAGCCGTACAAAAGACCAACTTCTGAAGAAATAAGTAATACCATAGACATGTGGAATAATGAAATTTCAAAAGATGAGTCAACTGAATTCGTTAAACAAATAAAGATGGCTAATGAAATGCTTAATGATTTTTCGTCATTTAATTCCGAAATTCATCCCGAAGCAGTTTACGTGAGCAGACCATTCGATCCTTTAAATGCCAGGAATCATTTGGGTATATATATGACACATTTGTAATATTATAATATTGTCTTCTATCTTATCATTCTAACGATATTATCTAATTATTTTGAAAGATAACCAATATGAACAAAAGAATTCCGAAAGTTTAATAAAAATAGACCCACTTAGTGTAAATGAAAAGATTAATAATAATAAATCATTCACCAAAGATCTGATAAGAGAGAAGATGCTGAGGGAATGATAAAACTTGTCAATTTGGAATTGGAGTTGAAAAGAATATAAATAAAGCATTCAATTATTATAAAAAATCTGCAGAAATGGGAAATGCTGATGGATTATATCAGCTTGGTACTCTTTATCGAGATGGAATTGGAGTTGAAAAGGATGAACATAAGGCATTTATTCTTTTTCAAAAATCTGCAAACATGGAAAACCATACAGGAATATTTGCATTTGGTGTTTGTTATGAAAAAGGAATTGGAATTGAGAAGGATGAAAAGAAAGCATTTATTTATTACCAAACGTCCGCTGATATGGAGAATACTAATGCGATGAATAACCTTGGAAATTGTTACAAAAATGGAATTGGAGTTGAAAAGGATGAAGTCAAGGCATTTAATTATTTTAAACAATCTGCAGATCTGAATTGTGTTATTGGAACACTTAATCTTGGGCAATGTTACAAAGCTGGAATTGGTGTTGAAAAGGATGAATATAAGGCATTTATTTGTTATCAAAAATCTGCTGAAATGGGTGATATAAATGGAATCTATTGTCTTGGAGATTGTTATCGAAATGGGATTGGAGTTGAAAAAGACAATTATAAGGCATTTCTTTATTATGAAAAATCTGCTCATATGGGAAATTCTCAAGGAATGTATCAGGTTGCTTATTGTTATCATCACGGAATTGGAGTTGAAAAAGATGAACGTAATGCATTTATTCATTATCAAAAATCTGCAGAGATGGGACATGCTAATGGAACGTTTAATGTTGGTTATTGTTACCTTCATGGAATTGGAGTTGAAAAGGATAGAAATAAGGCATATAATTATTTCCAAAAATCCGCTGAAATAGGAAATGCTATTGGTGTATTTAGTCTTGGCAACTGTTATCTTGATGGAATTGGAGTTGAAAAGAATGAATATAAAGCATTCATTAATTTTCAAAAATCTGCCGCGATGGGGTATGTCAAAGGAGCATCCAATGCTGGTTA